TGAGCGTGTCACTGCACTAGACTCTGCCTCAAAAAAAAAAAAAAAAATTCGGATAGTTAATCACAGACTGTAGACTGGGAACCCTGTCTTCATTTGATAAGGTTTTATTAGGCACACACTATGCCCAGAAACAGGTGCAGGGGGCATGGGCAGGATAGCCAAAGATTCCTTAAGAAACTATTGTCAGTCACTAGCAAAAATAGAGGACTTCTGAAATTTTGTACACTCCTCAACCGATAAAAGCAAGAAAAAACTAGCTAAAATTGTCGGAATCAACTTTTTCAGAACTATGGAGATTAATCAAAGGTTTTCAGCATCCCGGGGTGTGTTTATTCAAGAAAACAGGTGAATATCATTAAGAACATCTAACTACCCTGTTCCAATTCTGCTCTCCAACTAGTGGTAGGTACTCTTGGAAGTAACAGTCCACATTCCTGGTATTGGAGGGAGCAGAATGACATTATTCAAGGGAAACTGTCCTTATTTAACTTGTCTGACCAACTGCTTTTCCCTGAGGCTGTTTGTGGAAGGCAATTAGAGGCTTGCCTCTAGAGTGTTTTAAGTTAACAGCCTGAGGTAATGGGTAATGGCTAGGGCAAACAATAGACTACACAAAAAGCTTTTTTTTTTTAATATTTTAAATTTTTTTTTTTTTTTGAGTTGGAGTCTCACTCTGTCGCCCAGCCTGGAGTGCAGTGGCCGCTCCTAGCTACCGCAGCCTCGACCTGCTGGGCTCCGGCGATCCTTCTGCCTCAGCCTTCCAAGTAGCTGGAACTACAGGCACGGGCTACCATGCCCGGCTAATTTTTGATTTATTGTAGAGTTGAGGTCTCGCCAAGTTGCCCAGGCAGGGCTCAGGCAATCCACTCACGTCAGTCTCCCAAAGGCGCGGGATTACAGACTGAACCACTGAGCCCGGCTTTTTTTTTTTTTTGAGTTGGAGTCTCACTCTGTCACCCAGACTGGAGTGCAGTGACCACTGTAGTCTCCACCTGCTGGGCTCTGGCGATCCTTCCGCCTCAGCCTTCCAAGTAGCTGAAACTAGTAGCTGAAACTACAGGCGCGTGCCACCATACCCGGCTAATTTTTTTGATTTATTGTAGAGATGAGGTCTCGCCAAGTTGCCCAGGCGGGTCTCAAATCCCCGGGTTCAGGCAATCCACTCACCTCAGCCTCCCAAAGTGCGGGATTACAGGCTGAGCCACCGAGCCCGGCTCACAAAAAGCTTAAAAGGAAGACCAAGGGAATGAGATCTCTACGGGGCTGTGAAAAGCCCAAAGTTTTTACAGGAATATGGGTCACATACATAAGTAGGACTGTGGATATACTCAGAAAATACCTGAAAAATCCCTAAACTCTCACCTCTGGCTGGCCTTGAGGTCAGAGGAAAGAAATCTTGAGCAGAGGAAAGTCTGAGGAAGAGAATTTTTTTTTTTTTGAGTCCCAGTCTCTCTCTGTCACCCAAGCTGGAGTGCAGTAGCATGCTGCTCATGGCCACCACAGCCTTGACCTCGGTCAGGTGATCCTTCCGCCTCAGTCTTCCAAGTAGCTGGAACCACAGGCATGCGCCATCACACCTGACTAATTTTTTGATTTATTGTAGAGACGAGGTCTCCCCATGTTGCTCAGGCTGAGCTCAGGCAATCCTCTCACCTCCACCTCCCAAAGTGCTGGGATTACAGGCATGAGCCACCGTGCCTGGCCTGAGAAATTTTTTAAAAAGAAAATGATCAGGGCCTCTGAGACCTGTGAGACACTATTAAGTATACCAACATACACATAATGGCAAGAGCAGAGGAAAGAGAAAGGAGAAGAAAGAATACTTAGGCTGGATGCAGTGGCTCATGCCTGTAATCTCAGCACTTTGGGAGGTGAAGGTGAGAGGATTGCCTGAACCCAGGGGTTCGAGACCAGCCTGGGCAACATGGTATGACCTCGTCTCTACAATAAATCACAAAATTAACTGAGCGTGGTGGCATACACCTGTGGTTCCAGCTACTTGGAAGGCTGAGGTGGAAGGGTTGCCTGATTTCAGCAGGTTGAGGCTGCAGCGGTTTTGAGTGTGCCACTGCACTCCAGCCTGGGTGACAGAGTGAGACTTATATTCAAAAAAAAAAAAAATTAAAAATCTAAATAAATGTAATGACATCCAGTGTTGATGGACTAGAAGACTTAACATTTCTAAGATGGCAGTACTCTCCAATGCAATTCCTATCAAAATTTCAATTTTTGCAAAATTGAATGAGCTGATCCTAAAATTCATATGGAAGCCGGGTGCGGTGGCTCATGTTGCGGTGGCTCATGCCTGTAATCATAGCACTTTGGGAGGTGGTGGTGAGAAGATTGCCTGAGCATAGGGGTTCTGAAACCAACCTGTGCAACTTGGCGAGACCTCGTTTCTACACTAAATCAAGAAAAATTAGCTGAGTGTGGTGGCGCACGTCTGTAGTTCCAGCTACTTGAAAGGCTGAGGTGGAAGAATCACCTGAACCCAACAGGCTGCTGTGGCCATGGGCATGCCACTGCACTCCAGCCTGGGTGACTGATAGAGTGAGACTCCAACTCAAAAAATAAAAATAAAAACCCATAAAAGTCTTAGAAGAAAACAGAGATATACATCTTTGTGACCCTGAATTAGAAAACGGTTTCTGACACCAACAGCACAAGCAACAACAGGTACCACTAACAAATTGAATTTCTTCAAAATTAAAAACTTCTGTGCATCAAAGAACATTATCCAAAAAGTGAAAATGGCTGGGCGTCATGACTCAGACATCTGTGATCCCAGTATTTTGGGAGGCCAAGGTGGAAGGGTCACTTGAGGCCATGAGGAATTCAAGACCAGCCTGGGTAACATAGCAAGACCTTGTCTCTATTAAAAAACAATAAAAACAACAACAAAAACACAGATTGCCAATAATCACATGAAAAGATGCTGAATTTCATTAATCATTAGGGAAATGCAAATCAAAACCACAATGAGATGCCACTTCACACCACTAGGATGGCTGTAATCTTCAAGGTAGACATTTACAAGGTCGTGGAGAAATTGGAACCCTCATATATTGCTCATGGGAATGTAAAATGGAGCAGCTGCTTCAGAAAATGTTTGGCATTTTGTCACAGTGTTAAACACAGAGTTACCATATGATCTGGTAGTTCACCCCTAGGTATATACCCAAGGAAAATGAAAACATGTCCACACAAAAACTTGTACAGGAACTAAAAAAAAAATTTTTTTTTTGAGTTGGAGTCTCACTCTGTTGCCTGGCCTACATGAATGTTAATAGCATTACTCATAATAGCCAAAACTGGAAACCCCAATGTCCTTCAACTGATGAATATGTAAACAAATGTAGTATGCCCATACAATGAAACATTATTCAGCCATAAAAAGGAATGAAGTAGCTGGGTGCGGTAGCTCATGCCTATAATCTCAGCACTTTGGGAGACCTAGGTGAGAGAAATGCCTGAACCCACAAGAGTTTGAGACCAGCCTGGACAACTTGATGAGACCTCAGCTCTACAGTAAATCAAAAAATTAGCCAGGCATGGTGGCACACGCCTGTAGTTCCAGCTACTTGGAAGACTAAGGCGGAAGGATCGCTTGAGCCCAGCAGGTCGAAGCTGAGGTGGCCGTAAGAGTGCCACTGCACTCCAGCCTGGGTGACAGAGTGAGACTCCCAACTCAAATAATAATAATAATAATGTATTGACACATGTTCAGACCTCAAAAACATTATGCTAAGTGAAAAAGCCAGTCACAAAACAGTACATATGTATGATTCCATCCATATGAACATCCAGAGTAAGTATATCTATAGAGGCAGAGAGTAGATTAATGGTGCCAAGGACTGGGGGAGAAGAGGAATTGGAATGACTGATAATGGGTACTTGTTGGGGGGCAACGAAAGTCTTCTGCAGAGTCAGGTAGGAGTTGGCCAGAAGTTTGAGTTTATCCTGTGGGCAATGGGCATTTCCTGAAGGGTTTTACACTCAGCTTGGTGTAATAGATGTGGCTGCTGGATAGGCACTGAAAAGACAACTGTGGCCCGGAAGCAGCAAAAGAGCTGAGACAGATGACCACGCAGTGGAGACAGAAGAATGTGAACCTGTTAGAAATATCAGGGAAGGAGAAATGTGGAGCGGAGCTCATGTCAAAAATGGGGTTCTGTGACATTAGTGAAAATCAGAACAGAAATGGTGCTTCCCTAACAAAGCAGCTTTGTCATTCTCATGGTTCCCTTTCAACACTTGTGTAAAGACAGGGAGAATTCGCATGGATGTGCTCAAAATACGAGATGTCTTTTAGCTTCCCCCTTCCCCACTTATATGTATGTATTTTCATGATTTATGCTTTACATGACTGCCAGAGTCCACTTAAAAATAGTTGAGGCCAAAGCCCAGCTAAAATGCCTGGAGGGGGATTTTTATATCACAAGTCAGTTCACAAAGACAAAAGGAACAAGAGACCGCAACAGAATTATAGTCTTGGAAGACAGGAGGCCCCACAGACAAGTCTCCTCTGCCTGACTTCTCAGGGGAAAACCCCATGCGATGCCCAACTGGGAGGTGCTACTAAAGATACTGACAGGTGGGGGACACCAGAAGGGCTGGGGTGGGGTCTGTAGGCCTCTACCCAGCTGCAGAAAAAGTATTCATCAGAGAATGTGACCAGAAGTTCCAACTGTGGAGATGACTGGGCTGAAGACAGGCAAGTTAATGATGAGGCTTCTAGTCACAATGGAGTCCCCCATACTCCCTTGCCCCCATTGGACACAATGTTGAACAAAGAACACATTACTCCACCCAACAGGGATCAGTATTTCCTCTGGAGAGATCCCAGAGAGCACCCTCAGGGGAGCTCACCAGTTGATCCCCTCACTGTGGCACCCAATCAACAAGCCCACCCCCCATGCCAGGGGTCCAATGTCAAGGGGAGCTTCCATGGGAAGACAAGCCCAATGGCAGAGGCAGTGGAGCCTAGAGGGTGGGGCATGGGGGAGGGTACACTCCTTGGGACCTCCCAGACCACACCCCATGCAGGGATGCCATACTGAAAGGACACTGGCCCTCTCAGTTGATTCTAATAGATCCTTTGGCTTCTCCAGGCAGAGCAGTTCTGACTCCATTCCTGACCAAGGCACCTATGCCTTCCTATAACCAGAGATCTCTCGGACTGCAGCACCAAGGTCTCTGACATTGTCCTGGTATCACCAAAAAGTCACATTTTGCTTTTTCCTTTTTTCCAGAATGGACACTGGTCTGTCCAGCGTCATGCAGGGGTCTTAGCACAATAACCTGCTTCTTTCTGTGTTGGCCTATCAGTGCCCTTCACCTTTAGGGCTTTTGTTCCCCATGGCCTCCCTGTTGTACCTCAAGCCTCTTCTGCAGGGCTCTGGTCCCAGCTCCAGCCCCTTGGCCTCCTCAGCCCTAGCAGTAAAGATGGTGTCATATGGACTCTAGGTGCCTCAGCTCCCATTGGGTCCTTTAGCCAACATGTTTTCTCCTCCCCAGTACCATGCTCAGCACACCAATGGACAGAAGTACACAAATTCCCCTGAACCTCAACAGCATCCTCCAGGACCCCTCCAGGGTCTACAATTGCCCATTCCCCAGAGGCCAAATCCCAGGGCCGTTGGGTCCAGTGTATACCTGAGCTCTCCTCCCAGGGGTGAAGTAGCAGGGTTCCCATCCCTTCCAGCAGCGTCCTGGCTGGCAGGGATGGTACCAGGGCAATGCCAAGCCTTGTAGTCCCACATGGACAGTGGACCAGGAGCACAAACAGCAGCTAAAACAGACATTTGTTTATTTCCCAGAAGGAGGCAGAATGGGGTGTTTGAGGAGTCCCTGTCCCAGGCAGCATGCTCTGGAATGCAGATCTCACTTCCAGAAAAGCACATTCCAGAAGAGCAGCCAGCAGGGGTAAAGGCCCAGGGCCAACAGTGGGAAGAGCAGGGCGCCGTAGGTGTAGTGCTCCAGCACACCCTGGGCCAGTGCCGTCAGGAAGAGCTGCCAGCCCTCGGCCAGTGACAGTGGTGCCTCCTGCAGCTCCCGCCAAAGGAACAGGCTGCCCAGGAGTGTGGCTGCTGGGCTTGTCAACACCAGCAGGGCAGCATAGAGAGGCCTGGATGGAGGAACAACATCAGTGTAGGCTCCATGGTAGGAGTATAGGCACCAAGTGGGAGAAAGGGATATTGAATGAGGGCGGGCTCTATGATGCAGACACAGGCACTGGGACAAGTGGGGACTGACCAGCACATACCGGGGCCCATGAGGCTTGGTGACTGCAGCAGTGGGCACCATAGTGGCAGCCAGCAGAAATCCCAGTGAGAAGTTGGTGAGGGCAATGCAGCCCAGCTGTAGTGCTAGGTAGATCAGGGCCACCAGCTTCAGTGCCATCCAGCCCCTGTCTGGGGCCTGTGGGCTCACCACCCTGCAAGGCAAAGGGCTCAGAGGCAGCCTAGGGGCTGCCTGCGTGTCCAGGGAGTCCCTACCCCCTCCTGCACAGCCCAGCCTCTCACCAGTGGGTGCTGTGGGGAAGGGCCAGGCCAGCTGCATAAATCGCCAGCAGTGTCAGCACCACTGCCTCAGCCTCAGCCACTGGGAAGTGCTGGGTGGCCACATGTTGGCCGAGCACAGGCAGGATGTAGAGGGCCACTCCCATGGCCTGAGAGATCAGCAGAGGTGCTACAAGCGAGGTCAGCCCCACACCCTGCAGGGCACACAGGCTCTTGGATATGGGCCTGGGAACCAGAGGATTTCCAAGGATCCCACCACCACCCTACCAGCTGAGACTAAGTAGCAACAGTAAGTACCAGTCAGGACCCTTTAAGCCAACCCCAACAACAGAAGGGGGTGCCATCACCTGTGCTGGGGGGTGGAGGGCACTAGGTCCAGAGCCCCCCCCAGTCTCCTCTAGGCCCACTCCAGCCTCATGCAGCTGCATCCACAGTTCTAGAGCGTGGCCCAGTCAAGGACCCTGACAAGAGTTGTGATGGGATCTAACAGTAGGGGACCCAGGGTTCACCCCCACCCCCCATCCCTGGAGCAAGATGGAAGATTCTCCCCAGCCTAGAGTTGAGAGGACCTGAAGCTGGTAACAAATGTACAGCAAGGGGTGGAGGATATCTTGAGACCAAGGACTAGGAGTAAGAAGCCGGCGGCAGGCATGTAGAGGCCAATGGAGACGAAGCGGGAGAGGGCGGGGAGCAGGTAGAGGAAGAAGGATTGGTGCAGACGCTCCAGGAGGTGGTTGAGCTTGCGGAACATACCCTCCAAGGTCCTGTTGGGTGTGCAGCAGAGTCACGGTCAGCCAGATCCCCCCAGACCACCCCTACCCCACCCCAGTTGGAAGCTGCCCTGCACATGGAAAGAGGGGACCAGATGCTACTTACTTGCCCACAGCCACCAGGTCATACTTGTATTGGCGGAAGCTATTGATGCCACGCAGGGTTAAGGCCTCCACACGGTAGCGTAGGAAGAGGCCATGGGGTCCATGAGGGCGGCCAGAGGCCTGCCGCAAAACCATGAGCAGCAGTGTCTGCAGGCCTTGCAGTGGTCCATCCAGAGATGTCCAGTCCTGGGACTGCAGCTTTAGAGGCACGGGGACAGGATCAGATAATCCCCCTTATAGGCCCTGTGCCCATCAGCCCTCGAGCAGGCAGCCCCACCTTGCCCTGCAGTGTGCACAGTAGCCCCCCTTTCTGGCAGAAGGTCTGGAAGAGGTTGAGCAGGTCAAGGTTGGGCAGCTGCCCGTTGAGCCCCTCCACAGCCACGTCGAGGCTGGTGACCACATCACTACTCAGTTCCAGGGCCACAGCGGCCTGAATAGCCCCAGCCCGGCCCTGCAGGGGGGATGACTGAATTCCTGTAGGGACAAGTGAATGAGTACTAATGGCTGCAGGGGGAGGGGGAATTTAGTGAGAACAGTGACTCAGAGACTAAGGCAGGACAAGAGCACCTACCAGTGACGTTGACATCGTGGTAGGCTTCAAGCCAAGCTTCGGTACCCAGAAGATCATGTTCTGTCACCAGGAAGATGATATCTTTGGCCCAGTAAATCTGCCCTGGTGGCCAGAAACAGAATCAGTAGGGCCTGTGGCACTGGTCAGACCCTCCCTGGCCAGCAGCCCCTGAGCCTTACCCCGAAAGTGGGCAGCTAGTGCCAGCAGCAGCCCCACAGCCTGGTTGTTGGTGGAGTCAGAACTGCAGGGCACGGTGAGCACGAGGGACTCTGTGCTGGCAGCACGAGGAGCCCGCAGGATGCCGTATACGTTGGTGCCTGACACCATCTGCATGTAGATTGGTTTGGGGAAGCCTCAGCATAACCCTGTGGTAAGGGTCTTAAATCCTCCTCTTTTCCTGACCCACCCGCCAGGGATTTTCCTCTGAATTTCCTGGTCCCATGAAACCCCCCAACATGATTCCCAGCCTAGGGCCCCTCTCCAAGGTGCTTCTTGGTCCCAGGCACACCCCACTCCCACAGTACATAGCGTTCGTGGGTCTCATCTGGGAAGGGCAGTTGCCGGGAGAAACTCTGCGTGTAGACCTCCAGCCCTACTGACTGCATCGTCCGTTCTAGCCAGGCCACAGGCAGAGCCCTGGAGACACAGAGAGCTTCTGAGCAAAGATCCCTGGCTTTGGTTACCACTGCTTCTCATCTCCACTGCTCTGCCGCTCACCCCGACTTCCTGCGGTGGGCAGCGAAGTCCCTCGCAAAGCCCCGGGCGCGGTCTCCGCCCACAAACTGCTCCTCTACCATGGTGGAGCCCATGGCGTTCTCCGACATGTACGTGCGCTGGGTTAGCGGTGGGAAAGCCAGCGCCAAGAACCAGGTGATGCCCGCCACGTAGCTCAGCACGCTGTGTGAGAAAGGACAGAGGAGGCATCGGAGCGTCAGCGGCACTAGGGACGACGACCTGTGGCTTCAGCCTCCACACCAGGGGTCCGGGCATCAGGAGGCCGGACCGGAAAGCTGAGCCCCGGCCTGATACCCTGAGTGATGCCAGCGGACAAGAGGGAACCGGCGCTAGCATCCAGAGGGGCCTTGGCCCCGGCCCCAGCCCTGTGAATGGGGACCCCGCGCGGGGCCACAGGCAGCTCGAGCCCAGGACACTCGGCCTCGCCCTCACCAGAGCGGCGCGTTGAGGCGCAGCACGAGGCGGGCAAGCGCGCGCCGGCGCACCGGGTCTGACAAGAGGCCCATGGCGGGACGGGGCGGCTCCGGGACCCCTATCCCGCCGCCAGCGACGGCCGGCAAGACCGCGCACAACCCCTGTCAGACCCGCAGCCCGGCGCCTGTATGCCTTTCCGGTTCCAGCGGCCCTCGCGTCGGCGCGCATGCCCAGAGCCTAAGTCGTCCCTCGTACCGCCGGCGCGCATGCTCAGAGAGGCCAGCCCGCGGGTGGGCGGTGCTGATGAAGCCGGCAGGACTCAGGACCCGGTTTCGGAGTCTGCACTGAGCGGCCTCAGAGAGAGTCGGGCCGACGGTGCACCTCGTCTAAGGAGCGCAGTGGAGATGCCCGACCTCGGGAAGGCTAGTTGGGGGCAGCGAGAAAACCTCGGCTGTAAGACTCGCAAGAGTCAGAGAAGGTGACGCCCAGTTCAGGTGGGTGAAAAGCCGGATGCGGCGATCAGAGCACGGATGCCAAGTGAGACTGTGAATGACTGTGGAGCACTGGAAGAACCATTCCTATGGATGTCAGGCACCGAAAATGACAGTGAGCGTCCAGGTAGAGTCACAGCGTGAGCCCAGCACCGAGGTTTTCAGGATCAGAAGATGATTGCAGGGAAGATGCTAATCGCACTACTGGCCAAAACCGGCTTCAGTGGAACTGGGTTACATGCAGTAGAAAGTGGGGAGCATACTGCTCCTGTCCAGGCCAAGAGGTCCCTGGGATATTGCGGGGGCGGGGTGGGGGGAAACAGCCTGTAGGTCCAGGCTGCAGGAGCTGGTGGTCAGGGCTCAGGCAGGTCTGAGGGTAGGAGGTGACTGAAGAGGGTACAGTGGTGGGACATAGAGAAGGGTCAGAGCTGAGGGGAGAAGACCCTAGGTGAGAACAGGTGTCTGTTGTACTTTTAGAGCCCAAAACAGCAGGAAAGGCCCAAGGGGTTCCAACCCATAGTCCAGAAGATGTGGGACACGGCCCATCACATTTCTGTGGTGGGTACTCATAGCCAAGCTGAGTATCTCCCTCAGCCCTTGTGTTCAGGGCCCTGTTTGTGCTGGGGTGAGCATAAAAAACTCCTCAGTCTAACATCCTGGCTCATATTGCCAGGCTTCCCACTGCCCCCGCGGCTATCTTGAGCCCTTCCTGGCACATGCTGCTCTTTCCACCCATGGACTTGCCCGCCCCAACCCTCTACTCCATCTTCCTCTTAAGGGTTTGAATCCTGAGGCTACACAGAGATATGCAGCTCATGTGTGGGGTAGGGTCCCTGGTCACTCCTAAGAGTCAGCACTGGGCCAGGCTCTGCAGGGCTACACATCACTCTGAAGTGCTGCGGGTTGATCGAAGTACAGTGAGAAGTGTGTGAGCAGAGAAGCATGGCTTTATTCTGGACATGGGTGGCTAGGTACTCAGTCCCCTAGCAAGATAGAGGCCTCACGTACATGCTGCCGGACCACACGGTCTAATAAGGTGTGCACACCTTGGGCAGCCTGAGCAGCAGCCTCTAACACGTGCTCCAGGTGGTCCTCATGAAGCCTGGCATCCATCTCAAGCAAAGCAATCTGGCCTGAGGCTGGCAGCAAGGCCAAGGCCAGCTGGGGGCCTCCAGCTGCTTCCTCCACATGGCTGAGGTCTGCCAGAGCTGTGCCATCCACAAAGCCAGCTGAGCACGCACATACAAAGTCTCGCATGGGTATCCCAGCATCAAGCACTGCCAGTGTAGCTGCATTCACACAAGCCGCATAGGTTCCACCATCTGCCTGCAGCACCTGCAGGGACCCCCCCAGGGCATCAATCAGTCCATTAGACTCCATCCCCACCCTCTGTCACACCCTCCCCTTCCCAGGATGGGGCTGCAACCTGCTCACCTGTACATAGATATCAATCTGGGAGCGTGGGTGCAGTTGTGTGAGGATAGCTGCCTCAAAGGTCTGGCGAAGCTGCAGGCCCATCTCACAGGACTTGCGGTCTCCATGTGGCCGCCGCTTGCGCTCACCTGTGCTGAAGGTCGCTGAGCTATACTGACAGTTCACCAGCGCCCGGTCAGGCAGGGCCCGAGCTCGGGAACCTCGGATCTGGAAGAGGAAGGACACATGAGCCAGGCCCACTCCTTCCAGCCCATACTCCCCAAACCTCTGTGGCTCCACTTCACCTGGAAAACAGAGACCAAGGGAGGCCAGTCTCTAAGTCACCATCACCTCTCCCATGCGGTTTTTGTTTTTTTGAGTTGGAGTCTCTGTCGCCCAGGATAGAGTGCAATGACACGTTCACAGTGACCCCAACCTCGACCTGCTGGACTCAGGCGCTCTTCTGCTGCAGTCTTCCAAGTAGCTGGAACTACATGTGTACACCACCATGCCTGGCTATTTTTTTTTTAGTTGGAGTTTCACTCCGTTGCTCAGTCACCCAAGCGTCGACCTGCTGGGCTCAGGCGATCCTTCTGCCTCAGCCTTCCAAGTAGCCAGAACTACAGGCACGTGCTACCACACCTGGCTAATTTTTGATTTATTGTAAAGATGTCTTGCCAAGTTACCTGGGCTGGTCTCAAACCCGCGGGCTCAGGCAATCCACTCGCTTTGGCCTCCCAAAGTGCTGCGTTTACAGGCTGAGCCACTGAGCCCAGCCTTGGTTAATTTTTGTTTTATTGTAGAGATGAGGTCTCGCCATGTTGCCCAGGTTGGTCTCGAACCCATGGGCTGAGGCAATCCTCTCGCCTCCACTTCCCAAAGTGCTGGGATTACAGGCGTGAGCCACCACACCTGGCTTTCCCATGCATTTTTTAAAAGGTATTTATTTATTTATTTTTATTTTTTATTTTTTTGAGTTGGAGTCTCACTCTGTCACCCAGACTGGAGTGCAGTGGCCGCTCCCGGCCACCGCAGCCTCGACCTGCTGGGGTCCAGCGATCCTTCCGTCTCAGCCTTCTGAGTATCTGAAATTACAGGCATGTGCTACCATGCCCGGTTGATTTTTTGATTTATTGTAGAGATGAGGTCTTGCCAAATTGCCCAGGTGGGTCTCGAACCCGCAGGCTCAGGCAGTCCACTCACCTCAGCCTCCCAAAGTGCGGGATTACAGGCTGAGCCACCAAGCCCGGCTTCTCATGCATTTTTTTAACTGGCTTCCTTATTCCCATCCTTGTCCCATTCCCCCCCATGTTTACAAACATCAAGTCTGATTCTGTCTCACCTACACACTCACAAACTGCTTAACGTTCTATTATGTGTGAAGTAAAACCCAAAATCCTTGCCCTGGTCTTCAAAACAGAGTCCTCACCTACCCAGAAACCCTCAGCCTTATTAGAATTATCCCCCCACCAGCAATCTCTCTGCTCTGTAGAAGTGCTATGCTTGTTTTCACTCGTGGTCTCTGCTCTCCTGATTCTCTTTGCCTTGAAAGCAGAGTTTCCACACTCATGCACTAAGCAGTTTGTCATTGCCTGCCCTGGCCAGGCACTATACAGCAGGGGAAATACAGCAATAAAGCCAGTTTTATTTAACGGCCCTCTCCTCAGGGAGCTTGTGTACCAGTGGGAAAACAAAGATGAAAGTGATTAAGTAAAACTGACGTCTGAAATGGTTAGTGCAGACAGGCAAGTGTTTATTGTAGAGAGAGGTTTTGCCACGTGGATAAGGTGGTCTGGGGAGGAGTTTTCTGGACCGTCATGACGTCGGAGTAGAGAGCTAAGAGGTGTGGGAGAGTGCCCAGCAGGCTAAGGAGCCGCCAAGAGAGAGGGCACAGGGGCAGTGGCTGATGAGAAAAGCAGGACCATCCGAGTGAGAAGCGACACTGAGCATCTGATGCATAAAGCGAGGCGCACCGGCCGTTATCCCCCAATCCTCTGCTCAGCCCTGCGGCCCCGCCATTCGCGCAGTTCCCGCCGCCAAGCGATTCCGCCTCCCGCCCCGGAAGTCGCTGGCTCGCGCACGCCCACTTGCCTCGTGCGGCCCGTAGACCACCGCCAGCGCCTTGGTATTGCCCTGCTCGATGTAGGCCGAGCCGTCAGCTTGCGCAAACACGCCCATCCGTGCCTGGATCTTGCGCAGCTCGCCGGCGCGCCTCCCGTCCACTCGGTAGCCCTGGTCTGACAAAAGCTCTAGCCCCGCCATGCCGCCTAGCCGCAAGCCCTGCTCTCCGCTTTCAAAGAACTACAACTCCCAGCGACCCCGACCCTCTGGCATCCGTTTCCGGCGGTCCGTGCACCACTTCCGGTCCCGGGGAACTGCGGTGGCCCGCAGGCCCCGACCTCCCAGAATTCACATTTTCTGAAGCTCCGCCCCTATCTCCAGTTCTAGGGCGCTCCCGCGGCGTTGTAGGAAAGTGCCAGGCTTGGATCCCGGCTTATTGGAGCTGTTTCAATTCCCAGAGGTGGAGACCTGCCAAGAGTTGAATTCCTTGGCTGCGCCCGCGCACCCTCAAGCCCAGCCGCACGCAGCCCTGGCGCAGCCGGCTCGCTTCTGCTTCTTCTGATCCTCTAAGGTCTCTGCCCTGGGAGTGCTGGAGAGAAAGCCGGTCGTAGATGCATTCGTTCTCCCAACCTGAGACGTTTTCTGTCCTCTTGCTTAATTTTTAAAAATTTTGTCCGAGTCTCACTCTGTCGCCCAGGGCAGTGGCACGATCACGGCTACCACCGCCTCGACCTGCTGGACTCAGGCGATCCTTCCGCCTCAGCTTCCCCAGTAGATGAGACTACAGGGACGCGCCATCAAGCCTGGCTAATTTTTTAAAAATTATATGGTAGAGTCGAGGTCTCACCATATTGCTCAGGCTGGTCTCGAACTCTTGGGCTCAGGCAATCCTCTCGCCTTGACCTCCCAAAGTGATGGGATTACAGGCATGAGCCACCGCATCCGGCGCCTCTTGCTTTTTACCGTCTAGTACTTATGTTTATCAATTTTACAAAATAGACGCAGCCGGGCTTGGTGGCTCAGCCTGTAATCCCGCACTTTGGGAGGCTGAGGTGAGTGGATTGCCTGAGCCTCTGGATTCGAGACCCGCCTGGGCAACGAGACCTCTTCTCTACAGTAAATCAAAAAATCAGCCAGGCATGGTAGCACATGCCTGTAATTCCGGCTCCTCGGAAGGCTGAGGCGGAAGGATCGCCGGAGCCCAGCAGGTGGAGGCTGCGGTGGCCGGGAGCGGCCACTGCACTCCAGTCTGGGCGACAGAGTGAGACTCCAACTCAAAAAAAAAAAAATAGACGCGATTCTTTGTTATACCTACCTATATGATCATATTCTTGGTAGAGCAGTTTTAACTTTACTCAATTCTCTTGGTTCTACCCGCACTTTCCCCTCATCTACCTTAAACTAGTAAATGTTTTCTTCGTGATTTTCTTCAAACTCATCTGATTACATGCAGTGTACGTGTACAGCTATCCAGAGGCTTTGGGATTCTATTTTGAAAAATAGGATCATTTCATACACATCATTTTTTACTTTAAAAAGGTCTTATAAAATGCCTCCAAATAAGGGCCAGGAGCAGTGGCTCACACCTATAATCCCAGCACTTTGGGAGGCCGAGCCAAGAGGATTGCTTGAGCCCAGGAGTTTGAGGCCAACTTGGGCAACATAGCCAGATCTCGGCTCTTAAAAGAAAAAAAAAAAAAAATCAACCGGGCGTGGTAGCACATGCCTGTAATTCCGGCTACTTGGAAGGCTGAGACGGGAAGGATCGCCGGAGCCCAGCAGGTGAGACTGCGGTGACTGGGAGCGGCCACTGCACTCCAGTCTGGGCAACAGAGTGAGACTCCAACTCAAAAAAAAAAAAAAAAAAGCAAACAAACAAAAACCTCCAAATAATCCTGCAGAACTCTCAATAATTTTTTGTTGGCTGCTTGTTACCCATGGATTGAGTGTGCCAGGATGTATTCCCACCAATGCTCTGTGCTGGACAGTCAGCGTATGTCCATGGGCTTATATTTGGGGAGTGGAAGCCCAGGAGTAGAGTTTCTGGGCAAAGGCTATGAGAGCCGAGTTCCTTTTTCCCTCCTTAACAACAATAAGTTATGATTTTAAGAATTAGGGCCGAATGCGGTGGTTCACGTCTATAATCCCAGCACTTTGGAAGGCTGAGGTGAGAGAATTGCCTGAGCCCATGGGTTCGAGACCAGCCTGGGCAACTTGGTGAGACTTAATCTCTACAATAAATAAAAAAATTAGCTGGATATGGTCGTAGGTGCCTATAGTTCCAGCTACTTGGAAGGCTGAGATGGAAGGATCACCTGAGCCCAGCAGGTTGAGGCTGCGGTGACTGTGTGTGTGCCCCTGCACTCCAGACTGGGCGGCAAAGTGAGACTCCAACTAAAAAAAAAAAAAAAAAAATTAGGCCAGATGCAGTGACTCATGCCTGTAATCCCAGCAGAGGTGAGAGGATTGTCTGGGCCCGGGGGTTTGAGACCAGCTTGGGCAACTTGGCAAGACCTCATCTCTACAATTATAAAAACAAGCAGGGCTTGGTAGCTCAGCCTGTAATCCCGCGCCTTTGGGAGGTTGAGGTGAGTGGATTGCCTGAGCCCTCAGGTTCGAGACCCGCCTGGGCAACTCGGCGAGACCTCATCTCTACAATAAATCAAAAACTAGCCAGATGTGGTAGCACGCACCTGTAGTTCCAGCTACTTGGGAGGCTGAGGTGGAAGGATCGCTGGAGCCCAGCAAGTCGAGGCTGTGGTGGCCGGGAGTGGCCACTGCACTCCGGGAGTGGCCACTGCACTCCAGTCTGGGCGACAGAGTGAGACTCCAACTCAATAAATAAATAAATAAATAAATAAATAAAAATAAAATAAAAACATGTGGCGTGGTGGCACATGCCTGTAGTTCTAACTACCTGGAAGCCTGAGGCAGAAGGATCACCTGAGCCTGGGAGGTAGAGACTACAGTAGCCATGAGCATGCCACCAAGTAAGCATGCCACAGAGTAAGACTCCGACTCAAAAAAAAAAAAAAAAATTAACTTTGCCAGCCAGCAGAGTGTTACTGGCATTTTGATAGTCTCCTAATTTCTGGTCCTGGTATATTCCAGCCTCTCTTGTCACTCCTGTTAATGGAAAAACTGAACTCTTGTAAAATATTTATTATTTTTGAGACAGTCTTGCTCTGTTGACCAGGCTGAAGTGCAGTGGCTCAATCATAGCCCTGCAGTGTGGAATTTCTAGGCTCAAGCAATCCTCTTGCCTCAACCTGCTGAGTAGCTGGGTTTATGGGTGTGAACCACTATGTTTGGCCTATGTAAAATATTTTAAAGAGGTTTATTCTGAGCAAGTATGAGTGACCATGGCTCAGTGAACACAATCTCAGGACGTCCTGAGAAGATGTGCCCGAGGCAGTCAGATGACAGTTTGGCTTTATACATCTTAGGGAGGCAGGAGTTAAAGTCAAAGTTATAAATCAATACATGAAAGGTGTACATTGGTTCAGCCCCAAGAGCGGGGTATGTTGAAGCAGGGGCTTACAAATTATAGGTGGATTCAGAGATTCTTTAATTTGCAGTTGCCTAAAAATTTGGAATCGACAGAAAGGAATGTTTTAAGTTAAGGCAGTCTGTTAATCAGTACATGCACTGGATCAGAGTGACCTTTAGAGATGTGGGACTTAAAACTTGCCTTGCAGCCGGGCTCGGTGGCTCAGCCTGTAATCCCGCGCCTTTGGGACCCTGAGGGTTCGAGACCCGCCTGGGCAATTTGGCGAGACCTCATCTCTACAATAAATCATAAAAATTAGCTGGGCATGGTAGCGCGCGCCTGTAGTTCCAGCTACTCAGAAGTCTGAGGTGGAAGGATCGCCGGAGCCCAGCAGGTCGAGGCTGCGGTGGCCGGAAGTGTGCCACTGCACTCCAGTCTGGGCGACAGAGTGAGACTCCAACTCAAAAAAAAAAAAAAACTTACCTTGCATGGTCTCAGGTCCTACTCATAATTTGGTATCTTATTGTCAGAGTCCATTTTGTTAGTCTGATTATCTCTATTTTAACATCAATGGTGACAAGTTGTGTCTAAACTCCAAAACAGAACGGGATACAATGAGGCATGTCTCGCTTTCATTCCATGGCCCAGAACTCAGTTTTTCAGATTTCTCTTGTATCTCCTTGATTAAGAGAGAGTCCATTCAGTTGGTTAGTGAGGGCTTGTTAGGTTAAAATCTGTATCTATTGGGAGGAAGAGGTGAGAGGACTGCTTGAGTCCAGGGGTTTGAGGCCAACCTGGGCAACTTGGCAAGACCTCATCTTTATAATAAATAAAAAAGTTAGCTAGATGTGGTGGCATTCACCTGTGGTTCCAGCTACTTGGAAGGCTGAGGTGGAAGGGTTGCCTGAGCCCAGCAGGCTGAGGCTACAGTGGCCATGAGTATACCACTGCACTCCAACCTGGGCAACAGAATGAGACTCTGACTCCAAAAAAAAAAAAAAATCTCCCTATATATATACCAGCAGGGCCTCCAAATATTAGGTCAGATCCACCAGGGTGGGGTTATGCGATCCAGTGATATGTGAAAGATGCAAAGAATTACACAGAAATCAGATTAGAAAATATAATTTATAGCCGGGCTCAATGGCTCAGCATGTAATCCCGCGCCTTTGGGAGGCTGAGGTGAGTGGATTGCCTGAGCCCGCGGGTTCAAGACCTGCCGGGGCAGGCGAGACCTCATCTCTACAATAAATCAAAAAATTAGCCGGGCCTGGTAGCGCGCGCCTGTAATTCCAGCTACTCGGAAGGCTGAGGCAGAAGGATCGCTGGATTCCAGCAGGTCGAGGCTGCGGTGGTCTGGAGCGGCCACTGCACTCCGCTGGGTGACAGAGTGAGACTCCAACTCAAAAAAAAAAACCAAAAAGAAAATATAATTTATTTAGTAAGTAAATGAGAGAGAGAGAGAGGTTCCTTCACCTCCCCGAGGAAGGAGAGGGGCCCAAAACTTAGGAAACATGGCGGAGGCCATAGCTCAAAGAGCCACACCAGAATCCAGTTAACCAATAGCAAATGACTACTTCAGGTTGACTGTTTTTAATCATTGCCCTTGATGGGGGCTGGTCATTAAGGTGGTTGGATGGTGGTCTACTGTACGTCATCACGAAGGAGCAGGTAAGTGCAGGTATTGATGTCAGGTGATGGACAGCAGGCAGATGGGTAGGTTAGTCACAAGATTGCAGCCATGGTGATGGAGTCTGTTTGTGTCATGAAGGACTGATTAGGTTAACTTGGGTCTTAGGA